CACACACACACACACACACACACACACACACACACACACACACACACCTTTATTGCAAACAATCAGGAAGAAGGAAGATAAATGATATGCTTTTATGAGTCTACCAATGAGACCTCTCATTCTAGAACGAACTAGATACTGTCGTCCTCCTCCACTAGGGGGAGCCCATGAGACAAACAGCATCCAGGGAACTCTGGAATTTTCTGCTGAGTTGTTCCCCATATCTTTAAATAAGCATAGAAAAACAAAGGTTAAAATAAATGAGTGTGTGTTGGGGGGGGGTGGTCCTCCTGCAAAATCCTGGTGAAGACTGAAAGCATTTTATCTACTCTAAACTCATTCTACTAAGTTAACAAACTTCTCAGATCATTTCTGTGACAGAGCTATCAAATCAAGTGTGAGGAGAGTCCTTTGGCTGAACCAGCCCAATTGGGGTCATGCACAGAAAATAACGTTACAATATATAATATTGTTCCTGTAAACCTATTAGGATGAGACTTGCCTCCGGAGCCAAGGGGGCATACAAAACTCTCTTCAGGGCTGGAGAGATGGCTCAGTGGTTAAGAACACTGACTGCTCTTTCCAGAGGTCCTGAGTTCAATTTCCAGCAACCACATGGTGGCTCACAACCATCTGTAATGAGATCTGATGCCTCTTCTGGTGTGTCTGAAGATAATGACAGTGTACTCATATACAATAAATAAATATTTTTTTTAAAAAAACCCTCTTCTCAGATGAAGAAATAATCTTGAGTTTTTCCAGTCCTCTTAAACCACATTAATGTTTCTTTGTTGACAGAAATCAATAGATCAAAAGATATGCCAAGCTTTCTAAAAGGCTGAAATGGTAATCTTCCTTAGTTGATACAGAAAAGGTTAAAAGTCTTGGGCCTCCATTTGTTTGGAATCCAAATGGATCACTGGTATCCATTAAAGTCTAAAGAAATTCAAGAATTGCCACCGTTTATAAAGCATGTAACTAAATAAAGACTTAGACATCTATGTACCAGTGCTTAACCCTCTAGTCTTACCATTTGAAAAATAATAAATGAACTTAAAGATCTAGCCAAGATTTATAGGTAATTAATAAAATTGTAAGAGGCTGTAGAGATGAGTCAGAGGCTGAAGCATTGGCTGCATCAGCATGAGGGTCTGAATTTGATGCTCTGGGGTCTACACAGGATACCAGAAACCATTCAAGAACCTGGGACTCTTGTAAAAGAGCTGAGTGTGGCTGTGTGAGCCCATAATCCCAGAACTGGAGAAACAGAGACAGGGGGATATCTGGGGCTTGTTAGCAGGCCAACCTAGCCAAATTGGTAAACTTCAGTCCAGTGTTTCAAGCAATAAGGTGGAGAGAAGTTGAAGAAGACACCTGATGTTATTGTCTGGCCCAGTACTCAAGGCATGTGCGCCCTCCTGTATACACACACACACACATACACATGCACACACACATACACACGTACACACATACACAAACAAATAATAAACTAACTGTGACACAAAGATTTCCTATCACCCTAACCCTCTACTGTTTTATTGTCCCATGTGCCTCTAATTCAAAATGGTTCATAGTTACTGAACTCTGCTTGATTTGCTATGGAATTCCAGTTGAGAAAGTCAGTTTTGTCTTTTCCTGGAAAGGTCAACAGCACACCCAAACAGCAATGACGCAAAGCTCCACTGAAGCTATCATTCTCTCACTCCCCTAATCCTACTCCCACCCCCCACCCCTACTCCTCACTCCCACCCCCCACTACCCACCCTACTTCACACTCCCCACCCGCAGCATTGAATGGGGACTGAGCATTCCAAGTTTTCTCTGGCCCGTAACCAAAAGACAATCGAGGCTCTTTCGGACTTGTGGGGTGATGGAGATTCTGGGTCCTACATGTTTCCTCAGCAGCCTCATCTTTCTCACTAGAAAGAACCACAGCCTTTGCTCTGGGAAGAGTATCATGGCAGCCCTTTAACCAAATGACATTGGCCTCTGACCCTAGTTTTAAACTTCTCGTGTTATGCTAAGTCTGTTAAGCTTGTTTGTCCATATATGATAATCATGAGCTTTTACGCCAGGGCCTGGGGATGCTATGTCCTCATATATTATACTGTGCAATTAGATCGAATAGCCAAGGCATGTCTAAATTATTTAAAAGCACTGTCCGAAGCAACCACATTGGCAGAAGTTTCATCCAAGGTGGCTTTAGGAATAAATCTTTTTAACAAGTCTCCACATTCTGTGGAAAGTCTGTTAAAACACAAATAGCCTTTTTCAGTCAGTAGACTAGCAACTCCTAAAACTCCTCTTCTGCCTCCTTCCAATCTCCATCTGAAGTGTTGCATCTTGGACTACCTCTTTGTTGCCTTTGTCTGGATGATGAACCAAGTCAATCCAATGACATCATCTAAGCAATCACTCAACCATCAGTGGGTCTCAGGTTTTGATTATACAATGCTCAGAAGCATAGTGCATCCTTTATAGGTATCTCATAGATAGGTTTTCTGTCTTTGGTAACAATGAGGTTGGGCTTTGTTTTGCTTTGTTTTTCCCTTTCTCAGCCCTGGAAACACAAACCAGAGCATAGATGTGCTAGGTTACTGCCCTGCTACTGGCCCACAGCCCAGCCCATAATTGGAATATTAATGAGGGTGTGGGTGGGTATTGAGTGCACCAAACTAAGTCCATTTTGTTTTTTCTTTTCTTACTGTATGTGGTTCTGTACCTTAGCAGACTACTATCAAGCAGTGCTTCTCAACCTGTGAGTTACGACCTCTTTGTGGGGGTCAAATGACCCTGTCATCGTGGTTGCAGATCAGCTCTCCGGCATATCAGATATTTACATTACAACTCATGTACATTACAGTCATGAGGTAGCAACAAAATAATTTTGTGGTTGTGTTCACCACAACACGAGGAACTGTATCAAAGGGTCCCAGCATTAGAAAACCCATGGACCACTCCCATAAATGGACTATGGAAAAGGGATTTTATCACTGGACTTTGCTCAGGAGCCATGTGAACTCACAGGCAAACAAATTTAACCCATCTGATCAAACATCCGCTTTTGCAGCCACTGTGGAGCATGTTGGGTCAGCAGAGAATGTGGGTCTCCTACCCCACCTCCACACTGCTTCAGATGCTATACCACGGTTTTGTCTCTCACAGTACTTGCCCTGAAATATTTTGTCACATATTAAGTGGGATGCACTGTGAGAAATCAGTAGGCAATACTGATGTATGACTATCACAGAACACGCTTATATAAACCTACCTACATGGGTAGCCTATACAGGACCTAGACTGCTTGGACTAGCCTAGCTTTCCCTAGGTACAGCATTTTAGTGTATCAATACTGCAGGCAGATGTAAGACAAGTGAGGGTATGTTTGTGTAAACAGAAAGGACACTGGGAAAACATAGACTGAAGCTTTAAGGAATTCAGCAGGAAGAGCAGCTGCCAAACCAGAAGTGCCAGAGAGAGATGAGTGGGGTGGGGGGGGGGGGGGCGAGTGTACGTGGGTGTTCAGGACTTCTGCACTACTGTAGACTTTATAGACACCGTACATTTGCTAGCTTTTCTTTCTTATTTCTCTATCTATTTATTTATGATTCTTCAATAATAAATCCATCTTATTGTAAGTCACTTCTCTCCACTAAAACCTTTTTTTGAACCTTTTAAAAACACCAATAAAATCAAAAGTGTATAGAGTTGCACAGAAATAGTTTCTTTACACCCTTATTCTATAAGCTTTTTGTGTCTACTAAAAAAAAAAAAAAAGGCTCTCATGTAGTCCAGGATAACCTCAGACTTAATATGTAATCACCAGTACTTTTGAACTCCTGATCCTTCTGCCTCTGTCTCCTGAGGGCTGGGATTACTGACATAAACTACCATATCTAACTAAACTTTTTATTCTTTTACTATTTTACTTTAAAAAAATTTTTTTTGGTTAACAATGAAGACACAAGCCTGTAGTTCTACAGGGGTAGACTATCAGTGTTCCTGACCTCCACAGTTCTTTTCACCAGAGTTTTCAAAGCAGTAACTCACACGGAGCTGTCACCTCCTAGGACAACAATGCCTTCTGCTGGAATCTCTCATGAAGGCCTTGCCCGACGCTCTTATTGGAAACGTCAATAAGATGCAGCAGGCACGTGGTGTAATGGTTTGTATATGCTTGGCCCAGGGAGTGGTACTCCCTGGAGGTGTGGTCTTGTTGGAGTAGGTGTGTCACTGTGGGCATGGGCTATAAGACTCTGATCCAAGCTGCCTGGAAGCAAGTCTTCCACTAGCAGCCTTCAGATGAAGATGTAGAACTCTCAGTTCCTCTTGCACCATGCCTGACTGGACTCTACCATGCTTCTACCTTGATGATAATAGACTCTGATCCTGTAAGCCAGCCCCAATTAAACGTTGTACTTATAAGAGCTGCGTTGGTCATGGTGTCTGTTCACATCAGTAAAACCCTAACCAAGATACATGGTGACTGGTTCTTCTCCCAAGATGCTCTCTTGAGGTGCCATGCCAGCAAAGCAGAGAAGTCTTGCTTGGAGAAACATCTTTCAAGGTCTTCCTTTCTGTTGATAAATGTGGCCACACACCTCACCCCTTTCCTGGCAATGTGCTCGAATCACAATATCAAAATGATAGCGTTCCTCCAAACACCACTCTTATCACTGTAATGTGAAAACACGGAAAGACACCATGGCATGGTGAAGCTTTGCTTCACATGTCCCCTACTCCCCTGCCACAGATTTGCTTTTAAACAGACAGCACTCCTTGAACATGTCTCTTAACTCATGAAAATGTTTGGCCTTGGGGTCATATTTCAAAACTTTTGGGGCATATTAAGGGCTACAGAAATTTCTGCTAGATCCTGTGACTCTTCTTGGCCTTCTACTCCTTTGACTCTTCTTTGACTCCCTTAGTTTCTGTTTTCTTGTCTCTTCTTCAGCCTCATGTCCCTCTTCTTGTGCCAACAACTCTTCATTAGTCCCTTCCTCTGGAGCTCCTAGATGTCACCCTCAGCCATGCTTGCTCAGGTCAAGTTTGCTGCTACAGTTTTGCAAGCTCCTCATCCTTGGTAAGCCCTTTAAAATCATTGGCAAAGCCCTTGTCTTCATTCAGATGCCATCCTTACACTCCTTGATGATATCACCTCAAATCCAAACAAGTTACAATCCACTCGTGGAGGTTTTAATCTCTCAAGAATTTATCTGTGTCTTTACATTACAGCGATGGCTTGGGCAAAGCAGAGAGTAGTGTTGGGGGGGGAGGTGTGGGGATATAGCTCTGATATTGTGATGTGAGTGCTAGTAAAGGAACAATGTGTGGGGACATTTTTTAAAGTATAGAATAATGTTTATTTAGGGCATGGGAAGGGGAGTTGAGGTGGTAGAGACAGAGAAAGGCAGAGAGAGGGAGGGAGGGAGGGAGAGAGAGAAACAGAGAGAGAGAGAGAGAGAGAGAGAGAGAGAGAGAGAGAGAGAGAGAGAGAGAGAGAGAAGAGGAGTAGAGGCCAGCCATGAGCATGTGGAGAGAGGGGGAGGGGAGAAGGGAAGAGGGTAAGGGAGCAAGAGAAGAAAAGACAAGAGGTGGGGACATTGTTAACATCAGAGAAACTCTTGAGAGATCTTTCTCCAGGCAATGCGTCTCTATTTTGCCGGCATGGCCACTCAAGAGAGCATCATGAGAGAAGAGCTGAGTTACCATGACTTGCTATTCCTGCCACACACGGGTAGCGTAGGTGCAGTGGCATGCTCCAGAGCCTTAGGAAAACTCACTCTGCCAGATCACAAAGGGTTTCAACATGTAGCCTGCATCAGCCAGACTGTAATCTGTCTTTGGAAGCCTTAAACCCAGTATTGACATGCCCTCCTAAAGGTGAAAGTCCCGTCAGGCATTTAGTTCCAAAACAGAGAGTTTTTATCTACTTTAAACATTTGCTCTAGTAAATAATTTTCCCTTGAAGTCATCTAACCCAGAGTTTCCAAATTTCTTCAACTGTCTTCACGTTGGTATTCAGAGACTTGACATTCTGTACACATTACATAGTGAATAATTCCTTTTTTAAAACCCCATAATTCACCCAGAGTTAATGGTAACGCCAGCATCATTGCTTGATCTAGCCTTTCCTTTCAACGTTGAGGTCATCCTTTGTGCTTTGGTTATGATTGCCGAGTGCTGACAGGGCTATGCTTCCGTGCTTGGTCTTTAGTCCAGATCACTGGAAGCTTCTCCTTAAATGATATAGGCTGTAGTGGAATTTTTCTTGGTCTTGTTGCCTTCTGTCAAGCAGATTATTTAATGATTCCCATTGCTCTTTTTTTTTTTTTTAATCAAGATGACAACTTTGATTGAATGGGGCATGACTGACTGACACTCAGTAACCTTTACTGATTTCCCACCCCCGTAGTCCTTAACTGCTTTTAATTCTGTTTCCAAGTCTATCATTCCTTTCGGTCTCTTGATGGTGAAATTAGCAGTGGGTTTTGAGGTCCTGGTGAACAATACAAGATTAAATCAAGCACGGTGGGAAGTGGGAATGCTGCAATCCAGAGATACCCAACAGAGGAGACGTGCGAGGCTCCTGCCGAGCTAACATAGCCTACTGTTTTACAGGAAGCTTTTTTTTTTTTTCCTGATGTAGAACAGCACCTGCAAAAACAACAATAAAAAGGATATTATACCACATGCATGAAACAGTAGCATAGTCATTTATTATCATTGTCAAGTATTAGCACATTACATAGTTGTGGTTCTCTATTTTTACTTGACGGGCACAGAGTTGAGGTGTTCGTACCAACATCACCACAAATATGTAAGTAATGCTTTCTGCTGCTACTTTAGAATTACTACGAGATGACTGGGTGCCAGGAATTTTCCAGCTCCAGTCTAATCTTCCAGGACCATCATATAACATACACGGCGTATCACTGACGGAAGTCGTCAGTATGTGGGATATGATTGCATGTCCCATAACCAGAGCCCACAGCTCTCCACAGTCAAAACTAGTACCAAACTTGAAAGAAGGTGTGTTAGACTCCTTCAGTAGGGGATTATTCTTCATTTTTACTTTATTTTACGTTGCTTGTTTGCTTTTGAGATCGAATTTTACTATGTAGCTTAGATTGTCCTGGAACTCACTATACAGCCCCAGCTGGCCTCAATCTTGAGGCAATCCTCCAGTCTCAGCCTCCTTATATGTTATATTCAAGCTTGATGGTCTTGAAGATTTGTATGCTGCCATCCTTTGTGAATAATGGTCTGTATGATTAGGATGGTAGAAATGTGATCCAGCATGGTGACGCATGCACTTGGGAGGGAGAGGCAGGCAGAGCTCTGTGAGTTTGAGTTTGAGATCAGCCTGGTCTACAGTGAGAGAAAGAGAGAGAGAGAGAGAGAGAGAGAGAGAGAGAGAGAGAGAGTTGTCAGGACAGCCAGGGCTACACAGAGAAACTCTATCTTGAGAAAAAACAAACAAAATTAGGAAAAATATGAAGAAAACATACAGAATCATTAAAGTAATTTTGTATTATAAATTCATGTATACTCCATCCTGAAACCAAATGAGTCCATTCTGACAAGTGAGACGAACTAGTGTTGGTGCACAAGGTTTTGACCAGTCTCTCAAAACTGAGGAGCAAACGACACATTGCATTTATCCCAAGGCTGCCTTTTTATGTAGCAAAACAGAACTTAGAAATATCCAGACAAACTGTAACCTAATTCGAGAATACATTCTTTAACAAGTAGCTGAGTCTTCGCCAATGATAGCAGATGAGCATTTAGTGAACCATAGACCTCAAACCAATAAAGCTTGCCCAATAAAGCAGTTGCTGACCTGTATCCAAGCAGCCTCGTTCTATATGTGATTTCTGTTTTCTGCCAAATTGTTGAGTAGAACTCTCCAAACTGCCTTTATCCCGAGGGATAGCTGATAATAAATGGACCTTTTGTTCAGCTCCAAGTGATGCTATTAAATGTAATATGCCCAAGGTTTTTCTTCTTAATGAGCAGCCTGGTTTGTTAACGTCACGCAGAACAAGCTGAAGTTGCTGCATTAAGAACATATAGCATACCACAGAGATCTTGGGAACATCCAGAGTCCCTGGTGCAAGCTGGGAGCTGGCTCCTCACTGGCCCATTCAGAGAACTTTGCCTGGGCACTATAAGAAAAATCACCAGGCCTGAAGACCAGCAGAGCCTTGTCAGATATATCAGCAGAGAGACTGTTTACAAACAGAACAAAAACTCCAAAGACTCATCTAGTACCCACCAAGGCTACAAGCAGCTCCCTCGGCACCCAGCTACTCTTTGGATGGCATCCAGGGATCAAAGGTCAGAGGTTGCATAACGTAGCACATGATCCACCAGCCGTGCACAGATACACAATCACCCTTTGGCAACAGGCCTTGGCTTTCATAACCACATTCTTGGATTTGCTCGTGAATTGTTTAAACAGCCACGAAATGAATATCCATGCCTGACGATCCTACTCTGCTAAGGAAAAGTGTGTTGAGTAGTTAAAGGTGCTCAGACAAATGTAAACAGAGATACCTGACCCTGACCGTTACAAAACCGGATAAAGACACAACGATTTGGAAATTGCTGAAGAACATAGCTATATGGTTAAGGATATTTTCAATATTTAGCATTTTCGGCAATATTTAACATGTTCTCAAGAAACAATATAAGCTACTAATTAGAACCAGCAAAAATACACACACACACACACACACACACACACACACACACACAGAGAGAGCTAACCTGAGGGCAACAGGAAATTTAATGCCATAGCCACAGTCAGACTCAGGTCCTAACAGCACCAGTCCTGTCTCCAGCCCACATTCACACTTTGCTCTCCTTTAATGAGAAAGAATGGCGGGAACAGGCAGCAATTGAACAAGGGCCAACACCACAAGTGTATACTAGTCAGGCTCTGCACAAAAGCATGGCATTCCTACAACAGCAAAGCGGGGCTGGAACAGTGGTAGCGCTTACGAAGCTGGGGAGAAACAAACGCTGGAACTGGCTCAGTAGGGTAGGATGGATAGCAAAGCTGAAAAGATGCTGAAGGGGCCTCCAGGAAACCCCGCACCAAGGTCAGGTACATCTACTTCTGAGAGGAGGTGGGGGACCAGACCACAAGCTTTCATGGGATCCCGAAACATCATAATTCCATGAGAAATCCATTGTTTTGATTAATGACGTGAAAAGGCCTGTAGATACAGGCCAAGATGGAAGAACAAGACAAAAAGATCTACAAAAGCTTTAAGAGAAGTGAGACTCTTGGAGAATGCCCATGCCTCTGGGAGCAGATTCACCAACTCAGAAAGGGCAGGGATAGGCTCTTTGTCCAGCTAAGATCGAAAGGCCTGAAAAATAAAACAGGAGGTGGTATTTTGGGGAAGATCAGAGAGATGTTTTTCTCTCCAAGGTTCTTACAGACCCCAGAAAGGTTTGTAGCATTAGAAGTGTTACTATGGCTTCACATGGGCAAACTCACTGGCCTGCTATCACGTGATCCGACCTCATTTCAAGAACGCAACAGATAAACAAAGGGCCATTTATGGTCAGTCAGAGCAGCAAGATGGGTGGTGGCCACTTTGTAAATGATCAATAGCAGGTCAGAGAGAGGAGACTGGGATGGGGTTTTTCAAGAGATTCTTAACCTCCATGTCTTCCCACCCATAGGCATATGTTGCCAGGAGCACTCACACAGATCTTGAGGTTAATTGACAGCCCCAAACAAGGCCTTCATTATAAAACCTCATTATGAGTTCTGCTGAGTTGGCCCAGGAGCCCCGCAGAGCAGTGCTGGCTCTGCCTTCTTCATTTCTTCACTCTTCTCCGCCCAAATTTTGTCCATCCGCGATTCTTGGTGATGGTGTTTTATGTAACCACGGGCCTCTCACTACTTAGGACTTGGTGTGATTAATGGTCTTAGGAACACTGCCCCTTGGCACTGTTGTGGAAAACAAAAAACCAAACCAAAACAAAAAAACTAAGACCAAAACCCCCCAGAAAGCAAAAAATCCCAATAAACAAAACAAACAAAAAAACTCACAACTTTCACCTTTGAAGGAAATAAAAGATTTTATTCTGGAGCCAAATGTCACTGCCCAGGATCCAGGTTTCCCCAGATACCGTGTTCCACAGTGGATGAGGTTTCTTGAGCGATGTTATTAGTTACAGATCAAGGTCATAAATCAAAGGACTTTTGGAATACATGAGTGGGGGCCGCGGGCGGGTGGGGTACAGCAAGCAGGGAAACTGCTCTGGGTTCCAGATGTTGTCTGATGATGTTCTTAGCTTTCGGTTGTGGAAAGCACTAGCTTCCTTGGATTACATTTTAAAGGCTTTGGCAGTCTCATTTGAGGTGGCAGTCTGATTTGAGGTGGACAGTAGAAGGATTCAAAGTGGCCCAAGATACAATGGCTCTGGCCTGCAACCTCCTGCTTCTAACCAAGCCAGTACATCTCATGAAGCCTGCCAGTCTCCTGTCTGTCTGTCTGTTTATCTGCTTACAAGACCCCTCCACCATTCCCTTCCTCCTCCCTCTCTCTTGCTATTATTCTTTTGTTCCTAACCACCATTTCCTTTGGATTAGGCAAGCTTCTATATTTACTTCAAGATGATAACACAAAATCAAAGACATTTGGGTCTCTCTCTCTCTCTCTCTCTCTCTCTCTCTCTCTCTCTCTCTTCCATTGGACTACAAGTCACAGAATGGAAACTGTGGCGTAGAGTTGGCTCTACTCTTTTCCATAATAAAGAAGTTCAATCATTTGGTCCCAGAGAATCTTTTTTGTAGCTTTCCCCCTCCCCCATCTCACTCCCACCCTCATCCGGCTAAGGACTTCACTTGCCAGCACCTTTTCCAGTGCTAACTCAGACCCCTGCTTTCTGTCCACCATCCCTACCAGCGCTACACTGGTTCTGAGCCTGGCTTTATTGCTAATGACACCTCTATTTATAATGTATCCCATACATTATGCCCAGCTTAACCTTTAGTAAACTGTACGTGTGTGTGTGTGTGGTTTTTTTTTTTTTTGATAGCTTATGTTTATTTCTTATGAGCCTCATCTTTTAGAGACCATTGTTTGAGATCACAAAGCTGTGCGACCTCTAACAAGATCTTGAATCCTTCCCACCTGTCTCTAAGTTCTTACTCAGGGCCACGAAGCAGCCACGCCTAAGACATGGTTGCCATTCTGTGGGGCACATAGTCCAGTTGGAGAAGGAAGGAAGAACGGACCAAATGGTTATGATTCCATGTGGGCGTAAGAGGTAAGTGGAGAAGACACACCTAATCTAGAGGAAACAGATAGCTAAGCCAGTTATTAAGAACAAAAAGAATAACCAGAGGGAGGGGGAACTGGGCGATGGCAAGGAAGCTATTTTAAAACCACAAGAGTAAGAAAGACGCTCGGACAAGTTTTCTGAGGTGCATAGTGTGGCTAGACGTGGAGATGTAGAAACAGAGGAGATCGTGACAAATAGAACCACATCCTGCTGGGCTCGGAGTACTGTGCTCTGCAGCTGGCTTTAATCTACCCTGCGCTTTCCTTCTTAAACCGCATTGAATGGAAGAATAAGAAGGGGAGGTTGTGTTAGCTGCAGATTCCCGAGCTCTGCATGAAGAAGTTCAGATTCAACAGGTCAGAGACTAAGTCAGGAATCTGTATTTCTCACCGCCCCTCCCTTCTCAGGGTGATATAGCCGATTGGCTAGGCGGTTCCTTTGCAAACACAGCTGTAGGTAGCATGATCAGATCTGTTTGAGAAAAGTCACTCTAGCAGAAAGTTCCCTGGGTACCTGCTCACTCAGCAAGAGACCCTAATCCTTTGATAATCCTCCCATAACCCTCTCTGTGGCTCAGGGGCTGCAAAGCTTAGGACAGGCTCTGAAAGGAAATCTGCTAACAAGAGGCTTCTGAGAAGACCGTGTCTGAGTGGTCTTGAATTATATTTTAGATCTTTTATATTCCAAATATAGATGTAATACGTATGCGGTGAAGGTGGCTGGCCGTGAACGATCTGACACTGGATCCTCTGAAGGGGATTCTGGGTTCTGGAGGATGGGCTGTACTGAACTGAAGCACAGAGCCTGGAGCCAACGATCCCTATTCCATCTAGTTGGGCTGCAGGAGCTCTTAGCAGAACAGAACCTGTGCTCGTTAACACAAGTCCAGGGGGTATTTGGGTGCAGGCCACAAAGCTATTTACTCCGAAATACCAATTATATCATGTTAGAGAGCCGAACCCACTTGGACTAACGGAGTCTAATTTCTTGCAGTCAGTGATTAAATACACTGATAACTAGTTCGTTTTGGCTACAATCATAGCTTTCTGACCAAGCCTGTAGGTCCACTTTTTGAAACAGCACACCAGGAGTTTTCAACCCTTTGCCACATCACTTGTCATTTTTAAATTTCACACTAGAGAACCACGTGATCAAGTTACCAAATAGAAGGCAAAAAAAAAAATCTCATGTTTTAAGTAAGTTACAATTTTGTGTTCGGCTACATTTATAGCTCTCTGTGGCTGCATGTAGACCATGGGCACAGTATGGACGAGCCTATACCATGGGGTTAGAGTTTCACAAACTTAGCCTTCTCTTAACCTGGTCATTCTCGGGAAGAAAGCCAGGCCACTGGACACCGACTGATGACGGACACGGCAAGGTGATGTCCATCTTACTTGGTCTTGCAACCTCCATCCACTTCACAGTTCAGGTCTTCTGATGCTCAGGGCTCAGCTTCTGTCTCAGCTTCATTGGACTATTCCACAGGAGGTCTCGGCTCTTCTGAAGGTGGGCAGAACTTTTTAAAAGTAACATTCTACAACCCCAAAAGGGCAAGAATTACATCTTAAGATTCTTTTTTTCCTGGCTCTCTGTGTTAGATTTCTAAGGCAGTGTAAAGAGACAGAAGGCAGAAGAGACAGGCGTCTGGCCTTCAACAGACAGAACTGTGTTTATTAGTGTTCATCAAGAAGGGCAGTCTTTCTTGGGAAATTGAGGGATCTGTCAGAGGGAAAGGCTGGTCGTGACTCTCTATAGTGGTGGGGTGAGGGTTTAGGAATGGAACTGTTGCACTGTAACTCTGTCCTGCTGTCTCTAACCCACATCTTTCTCCTTCCTAAAGTTGTTTGCTGAAAAAGCAAGACAGGTTGTCCCGACAGCCCTTCCTAGGACGACAAAGCTGAGTGTCTGTGGTATTGTAGGAATCCTGTTTTATGACTGATGCATGATATTACCCTGAGCTTGGGTGAGTAGGGCTGGAATCATCACGAGGGTGAGCTGAGACTCTTTGGTTTCTTTTCTCTTTCTCGATTTTAGGATGTATTTATTTATTTAAGGTCACATGTATATGTATGTGTATGTGATGTATAGGTATAGGTATAGGTATAGGTATAGGTATAGGTATAGGTATAGGTATAGGTATAGGTATAGGTACAGCTTGTTTCAGGCAGGAGTATTTGGATTGGGCTGTATCTATGACTGAGCTCAGGGTTCAGTGCAAGACCCCTATGTACCTAACCTATCCAGGTTAGTAAGTCATCTACCACTTTGGCAGGGTCTTAGCCAGCGAGTGACCCAGCCCTGTATTTTACTCTGGGGACATTCAAGCTTGCAAGGTAGCAGGATTTTCATGGTCACAGATAAGAACCTCAGTCTTCAAACCTCCTTAGCTGGGCCTTGCAACCCTTATTCATTCCTAATAGACTGTCTCAGAGAATTTTGTGCAGGGAGTCTACAGTCTCCGAGACTCCAGCCAGCATTCTGTTTCCCATGTGCATAGTGTTCAGTAAAAGACATTTGAACAAGTGCACTTCTGATGAAGAGGCAGGGAGGTGGGCAGTGTAGCACAATGCTCTGTGCCTGACTTGACCAGGATGCCAGGCCAACACCTTATTCACTGAGCACATGGTGTTCTGAGCCATTTGCTCAGAAGCAGAAGCAACCATGGTAAATTCTACAGCCCTGGTCAACAGCAAGCCCACAGTATGGTAGGGGTCACTGCAAGCAGTCAGGTTATACAGTGCTCCAAGATCAGGTTGCCGTCTGGAGAAAGGGCACAGAAGTCAGCTGCTGAATACACAACATACAAGACTAAGCCCAACAAGTCATTTTAAACGTAAGTATAAAAAAAAAGAATTCTGGGAAGTGTTTAGAAAGTAAGTGGATAAATCTAGAAAGATAGTTGCATGGTTAAAGCATTTGTTGCTCTCCTAAGGACCTGGTTTGGTTCCCAGCACCCATACCAGACACTCACACTGCCTGCAACTCCAGTTCCTGGAGACCCAATGTCCTTTTTGGATGCCTTCATGGACACTGTGCATACAAGTGGTGTGTGTGTGTGTGTGTGTGTGTGTGTGTGTGTGTGTGTATACACATATATGTAATTATACATACACAGTCACATCCTGTGTCAAAATTTCACAAAGGTCCCCACAGTTGGTGCTTTTTATAAACAAGCAATTTTAAATTGGGTAGGAACCACTTTCCTCTGACATGAAGGAACCATGGTTCCATTGGCCAAAGTTTGGGCCATACTTGGGCCATTTTCTTCCAATACCAAACAATTAGCAGCCCCCATGGTACTGGGATAGATCAGCAGCCTAGAGCCAGAGTTCCTGTGAAAGCAAACACATTTATTACTCCAACTTCTCTCAGTGAGGGAAGAAGATGGCATGTGCTGGCATTTCCTGTCTGCTTGTATAACTGCTGCCACTCATCTTCTTGACGGCACAGTGCTCCCCACCTCGGCATCTTGAGGTTCTTCTTGCCTGAGAATACGAGCATCTATTTTCAAAAGAATTCCCTCACGTACCTTCACCAGTCAGTTTTTATGAAGACCAAATCCTGGTCATGCACCACAGGATTCGGGTCTTTTCATGGTACTCTCTACCCACCACCTCAGAGTTCTCGAAGCCTCTGACTAGACAAAGAAGAATTCAATGATAAGAAGAGTAACATAGAGCCCTCTGCAAGGACGGCCCAATCCCCTGATCACAGTGGCAGCACAAAGCACAAGTTCCCCTATAGCCCACCCTATGGTCTCTGTCCACCCTGACAGTACCAGCTTTGTGATCAGGTGACCCTCATCCCAGGCCCAGGGTTTAAGTTGGCAGGAGTTCTCTGCCTTGGCAAGCTTTTGCTTACTCACAGCCGGAATCTTTGCAATAGTTAAATTTTAATCTCAATAAAAAAAAAAAAAATCCCTGTAGCCAAGGGGTGGGGGCAGGAATATCAGGAGGCTGGGAGCAGCATCCAGGTATGTGACAAAGGGTGGCATCTGGAATGAAGAGGCAGGTCCTCAGTTGTCCATGCCAGCACTGGGGCCAATAAACTTTATCATTCTGTTTGGACTGGTGCTGGGTTTTTGTGTTTAGAAAAACCTAAAGGCGCTAGCCTGTAGGATGGTGCTGGCATCAGGGTCAGTGAAGATTAACAACCCAAATGTTAAGTTAGGGTCCTCAGCTAAAGTTTCCCTGACTTGGTTAATAAATAAACCAGTGATTAAGCTGCTCCAGCACATTCTATCCTGTAGCCTAGAAAGAACCTTCCTTATTGCCAGCAGACACAAAGACTAGATTAGTAACTCCAGCCTCTGTCCAACCTCATTGTGGCTGTGTCTGCTCTACAGAGTACATGGCAAAGCCACCCTCAACTCCATCCAGGGTCAGCATGGGACCATCACGGAAACTCAGAGGCAAAGGCAGGCCCCTGGAGCCCTGGCATGTGGGACTGGCCCAGGAGGGTTTGGGTGTGTCTGCCAGTGCTCCACCACTGTGCCCACCCTCAAGCCCACTACCTTACACACATTTCTTTCATCACTCTTATGACGATCCCACACCACAAAATTGCTGTTTGTGACCTCTGCAACACACAGGAAATTTATAGCTCAGAAACATTAGATAACAAAAGTAAATTGAAGCTGGGCATGGTGGCACACGTCTATAATCTAGCACTCAGGAGGCAGAGGCAGGTGGATTTCTAAGTTTGAGGCCAGCCTAGTCTAAAGAGTGAGTTCCATGACAGCCATGGCTACACAGAGAAATCATGTCTCTAAAACCAAACCAACCAACCAAATAACCCCAAACAAACAAAAAACAACTCCCCAAACAAAACACCAAAAAACAAACAAACAAACAAGTAAAAGCAAATTGTCAGAAGCAGAGGTCCCAAGTCCCATGACCTAATGTCAGAGACTGAGTTTGTACAGATTACAAAGGCATTTTCCCACAGAGAGATCAGTGAGTGGTATGGTTTTTGTGTGTGTATGAAGATCAATGAATCAAGGAGAAAGATATAAAGGGGCCATGGGAAGGAAAGAAGGCAGGAACCTGTGGGCAGGGACGCTGCAAGACACCTAATCTGTATGTTGAGATCTACTGGAGCATGTATGTGCTGTGAACTGCAGCCAGGCCCCAGCACTCAGGGAGAGAGCAGCAGAGCAGGCAGGTGGTCCCTCATGCAGTTCTTCTGGACCAGCCCTTGTAGTCGTCTTTTCTGATATCTGGGACATGGAAAACTGGGCAGTTCATGATACTTCTGCTATGAAAGCTCTTTTTTTTTTTTTTTGGTTTTTCGAGACAGGGTTTCTCTGTGTATCTCTGGCTGTCCTGGAACTCACTCTGTAGACCAGGCTGGCCTTGAACTCAGAAATCCGCCTGCCTCTGCCTCCCAAGTGCTGGGATTAAAGGCATGCACCACCACCACCACCCAGCATGAAAGCTCTTTAGACTCAAAATCCTTTCAAAAAAGAAGTTGGTCTTTCTTGGTGTTTTGAACATTTTGTTCGGATAATGCTGCAAATTTTGTCATTCTTGTAGAGATTGATTTGTTTTAAACAAATCAAATGTATTTGCTCTTAAAAATAGTGTTTTGAGTGACTTGTTCAGGATTCAAAAAAGAGAAATCCCAAGTGTTTCAGTTACAACCCAGCATTCCAACTGTGAAGCTAGAGCCGTGTGGTTGAACATACAGCCCACACTGTCAGCCCCAGACGGCAGGACTCAACATAGAGCCCACACTGTCATCCCCAGACGGCAGGACTCAACATAGAGCCCACACTGTCAGCCCCAGACGGCAGGACTCAACATAGAGCCTACACCGTCAGCCCCAGACAGCAGGACTCAACATAAAACCCACACCATCAGCCCCTAGACAGCAGGACTCAACATACAGCCCACACCGTCAGCCCCTAGACAGCAGGACTCTCTGTTCCTCCCAGGACCATTGCCCAGAAACTGTCCTTCTAAAATGTCTTCCTGGTTTCATATCCCGTCTCTGTGACAGACCCATATTCTCCTGAGGTGGCCTATGCTCCATCCATTCTTCCAGTGAATGTGCATTAATGCCTGCTAAGTGCCAGACAGATCTCCCCACTGGGATTGTAAGTTCTATGAAAGCTCTTTGCGGTGGATTGACACTGCAGACTCTGGAGACATTACCTGGATCACAGTCCCAGCTTGTTAGATATAGGGCCCTGGGAATATCATTCTGTAGCTTGGTATAGAGGTGGCAGCAGTACCTGGAGGTGGCGCAGCCTCTACTGGGAAAAGTGCATGAGTGTAATGCAGATGATGGCTTTCCTTACGGCCAGGTGTGAGGAGCTGGGTCCCCACATGGCAAGGACCTGTGGGGATATTCATGCAGAATCTCCCGGCCAAGGGAATGCTTGGTTCCCTTTGGTCTTGTATTCGAGTTCTTGGCTTTGCTATCACAAGTCTCTACTTTCACGCTGTCTGTTACAGCCGTTTCCCTAGAATTAGAAAAAGAAAGCTGAGACTATGATCCATTCTTGTTTGTCTCTGAGGATCGTGGAACAGAACAGATCACTGCTTCTCTGTTAGTAATGGTGATGTGGTTGAGTCAACACAAGGCCCTGGTCTGGGTATGTCAGCTAATGTCCGAATGTTCTCTTCCAGTGGGAAGTTAGTTCGAACAACAATTTGCCCACCAGCCTGTTCCCAAAAAATGTTAGATGGTTATCAAAAAGTTATAAAGGTCTTGCTGGATCATTGGCTCCAAGATTTAATAGGAACATGCAGACATGAGCCAAGCAAGGATGACGAACTGACTCAGGGTCCTAGTTTGCTGAGACCACTGGGCATTGGGAGAATTAGATTAGGATACGGGATGCCAATAATTAAATCAGAATTTTCTTGGTATGTGTCTATCATTTCTCTATACTGTGACCACAATTGCTAACAACCATGGTCACCTGGTTATACACCAATGTGCTGAGTTAGATATTAACTGCTTGTTGAAGCTGTGCTTCCTCTTTCTTCATACAGTTCATGGGGTAGCAGGAAACCACAGAAATTGAGGAGGAGGAAGGGAAAAAGTACAGTGTGCACATTACTGTCAACTGTAGGAAGGACTTAAAAGAGACTGTACCTGAGAAAGTGAGAAAATGAATGTGAAACCTTTTCAGCTGTGAAAACACAGATGCCTAGGTAAAGGCGGCCTGAGCTGTCTCAGAGCCAGAGCGTGGGAACTGCCTCTCGGTCAAAGTCTTCTTTTCTGTATTCCACAGGTCGTCCTTCAGGTTCTGAACCCTGCTGGGGCTGGACCTTGCCAAGAATCACATAAGCTCACAGATGAAAAGCACAGCAGTGGTTACAGCTAGCACAAGTTCTGTGTATAAGTCACTTGTAGCATCATCTCGACACAACCCAAGTTAGCAGGAGTGAGCAGACTAATACAATAGAGAGTAAGCACTTCTCCTAACAGTAAATACAGGCTGCTTTAGGGAAACACAAAGGGGCATGTGTAACCCACAAAGATTCACAACCTAAACGAGAATTTTAAAAACCAGCTAATCATAGGAAGGGGATGCAATGATAGGGAGGAAAATGTTCCCGATGGCTTGCAAAGACACAGAGGAGAGGATGCTTGCTTTCTATGATGTGTCCATACAAAACGCAAACCACTAAGAACCATGACTACGTGTCTTCTGTTTTTGTTTGCTTGGCATTGTGACTAAAATGCCTTAGAGAACAATTTAGAAGGAGGAAAGATTTGCTTGATGATTTCAGAATGTTCAGTCCCAAGAAACAAGACACCCACAAAGGCCTGCCCCTAGTCACCTACTTCCTCCTGCTAACCCCACCTCCCCAAATGACCACAACCTTCCAAATCAGCACCCCCAGCTGGGGACCAAACATTCAGAACACGAGCCTGTGGAAGACACTTGATAGTCCAACCATGATACTGTATCCACTGAACCTTTAATGTATAATTCCAGATAATTCAGACTCAGATAGCAAAGGTCAAGTCTAAACTACATTCATCTCCAGCAAGGTCAAAACGGCTCACACATTTTCTTTTGTCTTCAGTGGCAAACAAGCACGCAAGCTTCTCCAAGCAGTAGGTTAATCTCCTGGTTTCTTGGATTTTTGCTACAGGCTCCCTGGGACACAGTGTGGTTGATGCTTTTCACCCCATGCCCCTAGCACAGCACATTACACATAAAAACTGCCCAATAATGTGCTAAGTTTTCACCTGCTGGCTAATTTTTATTTTTTTAAAGAACAATTGCTTTCATGGCAAATGTTCAGATGGGTTCTGCCAATACACGCACTGTTTCTCTCGACATTAAACTCACAAAAGGCAAGTTTGGGCCTGGCTCCAACCTCCAACAGTCTGCTGATCTTCAAGATGAAATCACCACAGAGCTGTGTTGTAGGACCAGCCAGCAAACCTCAGTGCAAACAGAGTAAACATCAGAAGGACCACAAGTAAAGTGAGTTGTGCACAGTGAGAGTGTGCAACAGGAGGGCTCAGGGAACCAGCTGGATCAGTGATTAAATGTCAATTTTTAAAGACACTAAAGGGTTAAGGAATGCTCCCAGCAAGTAATAATTTTTCTTAGAAGGCCGATAACATTTCTTTCTTAATTAAACAAAACAAAAGGATTTTTATCCAGGGATAATGAAAAGAAAGGGATTTTGTAATTCATCTGACTCAATCATTTTCAAACAAGTTTTGGCTGAGAAACTCTTTGTTTAAACCATTACCAAGATGTGTAAACAAGCAAAAGTATCAACTGTTCTGGCAGGGTCAGGGTTGCCCCTCTGACCCTAATTTAATCTACTAAGAACTCAAGGATAGGAGGGGATACTTCATCTAGCAAAAGGCTCATGGTCCAAGCCAAGAGTGAGTTCAGTCCTGAACATCCATGTAAGGAGCCAGGTACAGTCACAGGCATTGTCACCTCAGTGCAGGGAGGCAGACACAAGAGGATTTCTGGGGCTCACTAGCTAGTTGGCCTAATCAGCCAGACTCTGTCTCTGATGGTAGAATTATGTTCTTTATTTTCTTTTTCTTGTCTGCATTTGCGTCTTTTCTATGGTGAACAGATATTATCATAAGAAAGGTGAAGACTTAAAAATGTCAACAGGTAGTAAAGTTATCATCCAGTGACATCTTGCAGTACACTTCATTAACTATGCTCTAAAATGTCATTGCAAAGCCAGAGCTGGTCACCCCAGCTACTCTGTTCTTTCTAAACTGTCTTTTTTTTTTTTTTTTTTTTTAGCAGTTCCTGGAATCAAACCCAGGGCCTGAAGTGCAGTAGGCAAGCATCCTACCATGAGGAATAGTGTCAGTGCAGTCCCTCATGTTTAGGAAGCCAAGACAGGACAACTGTGAGTTCGAAGTCAGTCTGGACAACATGGACACCACATAGTAAGTAAGACCTTGTCTCAAAGAAAAACGTTACTTAAGAATAATTTTTATAGTATAAGGAAATATTTGTTAAGATGTCAAACTTAAGAAACATAGTTGTTGCTGGGTAGTGGTGACACATACCTTTAATCCTAGCACTCAGGAGGCAGAGGCAGGTGGATCTCTTCTGAGTTCAAGGCCAGCCTGGTTTTCAGAGTGAATTTCAGGACAGCCAGGGCTATACAGAGAAACTCTGTCTAGAAAAACAAACAAAAACAAGAAACAGTTGTTGAGGCTATGAATAGTAGTCGAATAAGATATGTATTTTTTTAAAAAAAAATACTTGCATTTGAGTAGTATAGATGTTTTTTCTTCTATTTTCTGCACATTCCAGATATGTTACAAAAATTAGATTATTTTTATAATTGAAATATGGGGGAGGCCAGATGGCTCAGCAAGTAAAGCATTTAGCACATAAGTCTGACGACATGAGCTTGATCCCCAGAACCCATGTGAAATATAGAGAGAGCTGGTTCATAAACATTGCCCACTGACATCCGCATGTGCGCTGTGGTGTGGACTCATACACGTGCCCCTCCATATACATGTGTGTACATACAGTACATTCTAAAACCTAATGCTCTTCCAGTTCGTGTCCTGTTATGTTGCCTAAGCTTGTCTGTAACTCAAGTGATCCTCTTGCCTCAGCTTGTCAAACAGCTAGGGCTATAGGCACGTACGTACCACCTCACCTGACTCAGAAGACAGACGTGTTTAAGGGAAAACGCTGGGCAAGACAGACTCCTTAACAAATCTAGGACCAGATGTCAAGAAAATATATCTCTGAGAACCATTGATCTTGCAGATATATTTTCTTGACATCTGGTTGTTTTAAGAGTAGAGCTCTGGGGCCAGAGAGATGGCTCAGTGGTTAAGAGCACTGACTGCTCTTCCAGAGGTCCTGAGTTCAATTCTCAGCAACCACATGGTGGCTCACAACCATCTGTAATGGGATGCGATGCCCTCTTCTGGTGTGTCTGAAGACAGCTACAGTGTGCTCATATACATAAAATAAATAAATCTTAAAAAAAAAAGAACCATTGCTACAGAATAATAAAAGCTATTATAATTCCAAACACTGACAGAACATATAGCCTATCATTTCTTATATTATCCCAGTGAAAGATCAGACTCTACAAATATCAAGTGCTACTTGTTTAAATTTAAAGAGACTTAAAATCGCTAGTCGTGAGTCTGTCAAGTCATATACAGCTAATCACAGTCATTCTTAGCCAAACATCTTTAAGTTTTATGGGAGCCACGGTCCTGATGGCCCACAGTCACAAGTTCTCATTGCTTCATCTCGCAGAGGTGAAGGATGAACAAAGCCACAGTCAGACTATACTAACAGTTTGTCTATTACAGATCACCTCCCTCTCATCTATGTGACAAGGTGGCTTCACTAGTATCCTAGTAGGACTCAATATCCTAGCTATGACCCTCTATATTCTTACATGTTAGTCACACCATAAAGATCTTCGTATGCCACTTTAATAATATTGAGGCATCCTTTGCCCTAAACAAGACTCTGATGGTCACACATCTACCTCCTTTCATGTGATGCCCAAATTATTTGAAGATTGACGTACTATAAACATAACTTACACTAAACATTACACTGTTAATCCAATACTAGATGCTTAAAATTCCTAATTAAGTGGTCAAGAGCTTACATAAGAACCACTGAGGCCATGCATCCATTTACAACAATATAGCCACCCCAGCTTTAAGCCAAGTGTTATTTCAGAGCCAACATATTCATCCGTGCAGCTCTACACAAAAGTAATACATTTATTCCTTTCCTCCATCACCTATCGTTTTAATACTGCCAAATATTATAATGCAGCAGCTCTCCGGATAGTCTTACATGATCACACGAGTCAATGGGTTCATTAAAGGAATCAGTTTTGCTGGACTCAAACATGTGGGATTATTAACAAATTTCCCTTTACAATCCCAACCCTCACATTGTGCCATAGCACCAGTCTTCCTTTCAACCCCCAATTTTTGGGAAAGACTTTTTTTTTTTTTTTTTTTTAGCTTGGTCTTAGTGCTTGTTAGCACTGTCATGGCAGTGCTACTGTCTCCTTTCTAACTAGGGCCAGATGAAGGCTCACACAGTTTCGACACATCTTCTTACCCTTTATTCACTGTGGTTCTCGTTAAGCCATGTTAGATAATGCCCAAAGTCTTCTTGCAGGATTCCAGATCAAGTCATTTCCTACTGTAATTTTACAAGCCACTTGTGGGTTTAATGTATCTGCACCTTTCCTTTGTAACAACAACCACAGGATAATTTTCCTTGCTTCTGTTCTATGACTGGCATCGGCCTCCTCCATTGGGTTGCAAGTTACAACAGAACAGGGAGCACTGTGCGCTTACTGGGAATTTGCCTGTGTAGCCTCCAGCTGAAATCCTGGATACTTGAGAAATATCTACTGAGTGGCATCTTAAGTAAAGCTGTTTTGCAAGTTTCTCGGTTCTGTCAATTCTACCTTACTCAAGTGTAAGGTAGTGCCTCACACTCGTGCCTCAGACACCAAACCCAAAGCCTCCTTTGGTCCTCCGTTAGACACTCTTGTTCATGCCGATGAAGGGTACCAGTGCTCAAGGAACATGCCTCTCTCTTGTCATCAGACCAAACCGATTTCTTGGCACTTGCCTAGCTCTGTCACAGACCACATCCTTAAGATGGTGTCACTTAGTGACTCTTAGGCATGGAAACAAAATCACTGTAATTGAGGGAGTTAAAATAAAAATAGAGAATTTCAATCTACTTTACCTTATAAGAAAAATACATCAGGTAGCCTCCTAATGCTAGAAACAAGTGTGAGGTCACACACACAAAACAAAATCATTGTTTCAACTAAAGGATCTGGACAGTGCTTTGCTCTTGATCAATAGGGTGCGCTCAGGGAGAGAGAACACACCTGGGTAGTTATTCTTCTGAGGAAGGTGGTGGCGGTGTGTTTTCCCCACTGGCTGGGATCAGATCTCACAGTCTTAATGGGTTAGTCTGAAAAGAGTTGGCCCACAGGAAATAGAGAAAGGGAAAGGTGTCTGGGCTCCAAACAGATAAGGGTCACTGATCCAGACCAGCAAATTCCTAAAACAAAGCAGTGGGCCTTTGATTAAACAAAGACTGCACTGGGTGAGAAGGATCAGAATGTTTGCCAGGCAGAAAAGACTGCTATTTGATATTTCTTGCACTATTGACAACAGGAATTTAAATCCTCAGATGTTGTTTGGTCTCATATATAACAAAAACAAAACAAAAACAAAAATAAACAAAAAAATTGGGTGGAAAGTGTTATCTCTTTCTACAGCAATGAAATCTCCATGGATTTTTTTTTCTTGTCTCCTTTGATCTAAATACTTAGAACTTGTGAGCTGGTTAGGCTTTCAGAATGGCAGAGCTTGTCACAGGGCAAGCAGAGGAATAGGTTTGAAAGGAAAGCGCAAACAGTGCTCTGAGATTCTACCGATGTCAAGGAAAATGAAAAGAACTGAGAGGCACTGGGTGTTAGTGACTCCTCCTACTTACACAGGAGAGTATTAAGGCTCCAAAAACAAAGCTTACAGTGTACCTAAGGAGGAGGCTTAGCCCTCTCTCCCTGAGACAAAAGCGAAGACTCACAATGACCTTGCAACCGAGTTATTCTGGTTTGTATTCCTTTCTTTTGCACCCAGAGGAAATGTAGATTACTTTTCTCTTCACCATGAAGCCTTGGTGTTACTGCAACAGGATCATTAAGTAAAACATGTAAGGCACTGAAACCATATAAATCATGCACAGACACATTAAAGAATTTAAATTACCTGTAATATGGATCAGTAGAGTTTAAAATAAAGCATGTAGGTTCCTCTGCCCACCTGCCCGTCGTTGTTTGTTTTGAAGTAGTTTTCTCATTACATAGCCCAGGCTAACATCGGATTCCTGATCCTCCTTGCCTTAGCCTGCTGAGTGGAGGAACTGTAAGTCTGTGTCAAAGGGTCTACAGATGCACATCTCAGAAACATAATGTGAAGCCTGCTGTGCATTCCTCTTATGAATCTGTCAACCTGTGATAGCTAGGTTGTGACAGGAGAGGGTAGAACAGGATAACAATTTTGAGGGCTAGAGATGTTCACTGTCAGAACGCACGTGTGAGCTTTCGACTTCAGCATCATAAATAATAGTTCTCACTTACGGAGCGTTTCCTATAAGCCCAGTTCTGAACTAAGAACTCACCAGACCTTCTCTTAGTCATTCATCACAACTACCTACCCAACAGAGGATCTGACGTCCTGTGGCCTCCAGGGGCCCTGAACATACACGGTGCCCATAAACTCATGGAAGAAAACACACATACACATAAATAAACAATATTTTTATATGTTTGTTTTGAGACAGAGTTTCTCTACATAGCTCTGGCTGTCCTGGGGTCTCCCTATGTAGATCATGCTGGCCATGAATTCACAGAGATTCACCTACCTCTGCCTCGTAAGTGTTGGGATTAAAGGGGTGTGCCATCACTGCCTGGAGATTTTTAAAAATAATCCCAGGATCTAGGAGAGATCATTTTAGAGAGAGAAATAAATTTAGGAAGTACAACCACTAAGTTTTAACCAAATATTTACACGAACTTAAGAATATAATCAAAAGTCTAACAATGACCACAAACAATTCAGAAAAGAATCAGTTGTTTATATTCAGTAAGGACATGCCGGGACTGCTTCTGGGAAAACTCTTCTCATCCATGGACTCTTGTTCATTGGATGTGCACAAATATGTACTTAACATTAACCTCACTTTTTCTGGAAGGATCTTCTAGCCTTTCCTGTTTCTTACTAGTTTACCAACTCAGATTCATTTTTCTTTTGAGATTTTGCCCCCTTATAATGAAAATCGCATTTGGCTCTAACATACCTGACTCGTTTCAACAAAAGTTTAAGTTTCCTGTGTAAAACTTAATAAATGGTCAGCTTGCTATTATACTCAGCCAACCCCAGTGGAACGGTGAAGAATCACAGCTTGTGGAAGAGAGAGTCATAAAGCGTTGTCTGTTACCATCTGTTCCTTGTGCTTAACTTACGGGGA